CCATTCATCCCCCATATAGTAATCACCCCCATAAACTAATTCACATTCCCCCAATAGACTTCCAAATTCATCCCCCAATGATAATTAATTCTCCCATAGTAGTAATTTCATCTCCCATATAGTAAATTCTTCCCCCATATAGTAAGTCCCCCATATAGTAAGACCCCCATATAGTAAGTCCCTCCCCCCCATATAGTAATATCATCCCCAATATAGTAAGTCCCCCCCATATAGTAAAGTCCCCCCCATAATAGTAAGTCCCCCATATAGTAATATCAATCCCCCATATAGTAAGTCCCCCCTGTGTCAATTCAACTTACCTTTGCTCCGCGCGTTCCTCTCGTCGTGCTTCCCGCCGCCGGCCGTTCTGGTCTCAGGGCGGACTGTGAGAGGAGAGTCGAGAGTTTTCGTCACGCTGCCCCGCCTACATCCTGGCTGCCCCGCCTACATCCTGACAGCTGCAGAGTCCTGACTTTTGGGGCGGCCGCCCGAGAGGAGGGAGGGTGCGAGCGGGCGGCCGTCCGAGAGGAGGAGGGGAGGAGGAGGTGAGGGGGCGGCCCGCCCGGCACACGCCCGTCCGAGAGGAGGGAGGGGAGGGAGAGGAGGGAGGGGAGGGAGGGGAGCGGCGCCCGGCACACAGAAGAGCCGCATTTAAGCTTGTAAAGAGCCGCATGTGGCTCGCGAGCTGCGGCTTGCCGACCACCTGATCTATACTAAACCCTTATCCTTGATGAGGGTCTGGTATGGATGTGAAGGGGGACTCCAAACAAAAAGAAATAGTGTGGGGTCCCCCACAGTTTTAATGGAAGAATTTCTATAATGATACAACACAACAGAAGCTGTTTATTTTCAGACTTTGTATCTAATTGGAATGCCATACAGGTCTCTCAGTGCAAACAGTGGTGGGACAGATGAATCACTACATTCAACAATTACAGACCCCAGTGGAATGCCTAATATGTCCCCATACCCCCATCACCAGACTGCTGAAATCTTCATGATCATCAGTCATATTAGGTACCAGTATGACTTTGAAAAATGTCAATATTTTACTTTTCATATGGATAGCTAAGAACAGAAAAAATAAAAGAAAACCATACAAATGTTATCATATTTATATATATAAAAATGGTCAATCATTAAAAACAAGTCAGCTACAACTTTGAGATTTTTGTTGTTTTCTTGGTTCAATGAAATTGAGTTAAAGTGGTTGCAAACCCTTAAATACACCTAGTGAAGTGACTGTCCTCAGGTGATATACAGAGATTAAACAAATCCTCCTAGATAAGTTGTACCTCTTTATCTGCAGTCTTCTCTCCTCTACATCTGTTCAAAGTGCTGAATTTAAAAAGTTTGCTGACACTTCAGAAAAAAAGAGGCAGAGAGCTGAAATTACACACTGCAAAGCTCAGTGAGGAGAGCTCTAAGAGCTGATTAGAGGGAAGAGATACACCCCCCTCCACATGGCTCACAGGAACAGAACTGGGGCTATCAATCAAAGGCTGTGCCCTCCCCTGTCTCCTATTTTTTTCTTAGTGTCAGGAAAACTTGTCAGGAGCAACTTATGCTGATAGCAGAGGACCCAAGCAGCAGACAGAAATGACACTTAGTGCTCTAGATTGAGACAAGTACACACTATAGGGGGATGTGCTTTGTTCATATTTGATGTCTGATATTTACAACCACTTTAAAGTTATGGACAATGCTACTTGCATGTCTGCTGACTCATCAAGTGGATTTCTGCACTTTTCATATCCCCTAATTTGACTTCCATACTCTCAAGAGTTATGGATACCCATGTCTAAGAACTCCTGCAATGGTGTCAACCCTCCTTAAATTTACAAACAGTTTGTAAAAAAAGGGTGATGTTCTCCTGTCTGTAATTGTCCATGGACAGGAGAAAACCCAGCTTCTCATAAGCTCTGACACTGATACCAATTTAAAAATTAAAAAAAAAAAAAAAATTCTGACAAAAAAAATACTGACCTTTGACCCTGGCACTGGCCTAGATCAAATATGGATAGGTTAAGTATTTTTTTAATATATTTTATTAATATTATTATTTATTTATGTATTTATTTTTACACAAAATTTTTCTTTCTCTCTGAAAGGCCAGAGTAGATTCCCACCTCTCCAGATCTCCAGGGTTGCCTATCTCTGATATTACTCTTACAGTATGCATTCATGACATATTGTCCCTGTATAAATGTATGTAAATAAATGTTTTCTTTTAATGTTGCCAGTGAATATCAGAAAAGATTGCTGCTCATATACATTATTTGTGTAGTCTTGCTGTCGTGTTCACCAGCACACCATACACTACAGATACAATTTATAAATGACTCGGAAGTGGAATAAACTCAACTGTGCAAGATGGAGTATAAGATGAATGTCTGATTACACTTCAAGGTGGTATATGTAACAGTCTGTCCTTCTAGAACAGTGGTCTCCAAACTGCGGCCCGGCCAGATGTGGCCCTTTGCTTGCCCTTATCTAACCCTTAGGGTGCTATTACACCAATGATGAAGCACCATGTACTCTACTGATGCCATCATTTTCTACTCCCACTGGCCACAGTCTGGCCCCCCTAAAGGCTGAAGGAGAGTAAACTGGCCCTTTTCTTAGGAAGTTTGGAGCCCCCTGTTCTAGAAGAAGGGAAAGCAGAGTAGAGTCTTCTTGAAATATAAAACGATGCACATGTCTGATTTCTATTTAAAATCCCCAAAACAAGCACATAACTACTAAATGTAGGATAGTCCTCCTGTTTAGGATTTTTGATAGAAGTGAGATATGTGGATACCTTCTGTTTTACGAAGACTCTACTGTGCTTCACAATTGCTCATTGGAGGGATTTTTGGTTCATTTTGGCACACCTTACCATAACCTGTCAGTTTATACTTTTTAGAGGGTGGCAGAAAGCCTTTTTAGAGTTTCTTTGCAGTTACATTTTATACTTTGGAAAAAATTGAGGGCGTTATGGCTCTAAATCAAAGAGAAGCTCCAGCCAAACCTTTTTTTTTTGTTTTGGATACAGGTTTAGAATCTCTGTCACCACTGGATAGATTACATTGGGTTGATTTCATTTGAAAGGCTAATTCCACCTTTTGCAAAAAAAATAATAAATGTATCTATATTGCAAAATGTGAAATTATACATTCATTTTTGCATTGCCTGTAAAGCATTGTGCCTGTGATCAGTGGCTGTAGAGTGCAGTGCGCTGGTTCCCGCAGCTCAGGTCTCAGCTTTGTACAGAGGTTCAGACCAGTTTTTTATTCACAACCTCTGTTAATGAATGACAAGACTGTGCGAGTCGAGCCACAAATGACCAAATAACAAGAGCCAGCAGGGAGAAGAACCCTATGACTCTAAGCGAGGGAGCGCTTGGGGGTAGATGGTAGTAAACCTGTGGTCCAAAGGCATAACCATTACCAGAGGGAACATTTCTTAGGCATATACCTGCCAGTGCCTGCACATATCATATTTTTTGCTCCATAAGACACACCTAACCATAGATTTTAGAGGAGGAAAACAAGAAAAAAAAATTCTTAACCAATGGACTGCAGACATACTACAGGAGATGAGAAGAGACTGCAGACATAGTACAGGAGATGACCAGAGACTGCAGACAAAGTACAGGAGATGACCAGAGACTGCGGACATAGCACAGGAGATGACAAGAGACTGCGGACATAGTACAAGAGATGACAAGAGACTGCGGACACAGTACAGGAGATGACCAGAGACTGCGGACACAGTACAGGAGATGACCGGAGACTGCGAACACAGTACAGGAGATGACAAGAGACTGCGGACACAGTACAGGAGATGAGAAGAGACTGCAGACATAGTACAGGAGATGACTGGGGACTGCAGACATACTACAGATGACCAGAGACTGCAGACATACTACAGGAGATGACCTAAGACTGCGGACACAGTACAGGATATGAGAAGAGACTGCAGATATAGTACAGGAGATGACCGGAGACTGCGGACAAAGTACAGGAGATGACCGGAGAGACTGCGGACAAAGTACAGGAGATGACCAGAGACTGCGGACACCGTACAGGAGATGACAAGAGACTGCGGACACAGTACAGGAGATGACCAGAGACTGCGGACACAGTACAGGAGATGACAAGAGACTGCAGACACAGTACAGGAGATGACAAGAGACTGCGGACACAGTACAGGAGATGACCAGAGACTGCGGACACAGTACAGCAGATGGCAAGAGACTGCGGACATAGTACAGGAGATGACCAGAGACTGCGGACACAGTACAGGAGATGGCAAGAGACTGCGGACACAGTACAGGAGATGACAAGAGACTGCGGACACAGTACAGGAGATGACCAGAGACTGCGGACACAGTACAGGAGATGACCTGAGACTGCGGACACAGTACAGGAGATGACCTGAGACTGCGGACATAGTACAAATGACCAGAGACTGCGGGCATAGTACAGGAGATGACCAGAGACTGCAGACATAGTACAGGAGATGACCAGAGACTGCAGACATAGTACAGGAGATGACCACAGACTGCAGACACAGTACAGGAGATGACCACAGACTTCGGACCATAGTACAGGATATGACCAGAGACTGCGGACACAGTACAGGGGATGACCAAAGACTGCGGACATATTACAGGAGATGAGCAGAGATTGCGGACACAGTACAGGAGATGACCAGAGACTGCAGACACAGTACAGGAGATGACCAGAGACTGCGGACATAGTACAGGAAATGACCAGAGACTGCGGACATACTACAGGAGATGACCAGAGATTGTGGACACAGCACAGGAGATGACCAGAGGCTGCCGACACAGCATAGGGAGATGACCAGAGACTGCGGACACAGTACAGGAGATGACCAGAGACTGCGGACATAGTACAGGAGATGACCAGAGACTGCGGACACAGTACAGGGGATGACCAGAGACTGCGGACACACAGTACAGGAGATGACCAGAGACTGCGGACACAGTACAGGAGATGACCAGAGACTGCGGGCATAGTACAGGAGATGACCAGAGAGACTGCGGACACAGCACAGGAGATGACCAGAGACTGCGGACATAGTACAGGAGATGACCAGAGACTGTGGACATAGTACAGGAGATGACCAGAGACTGTGGACATAGTACAGGAGATGACCTGAGACTGCGGACACAGTACAGGAGATGACCAGAGACTGCGGACACAGTACAGGAGATGACCAGAGACTGCGGACACAGTACAGGAGATGACCAGAGACTGTGGGACATAGTACAGGAGATGACCTGAGACTGCGGACACAGTACAGGGGATGACCAGAGACTGCGGACACAGTACTGTACAGGAGATGGCCAGAGACTACAGACATAGTACAGGAGATGACCAGAGACTGCGGACATAGTACAAATGACCAGAGACTGCGGGCATAGTACAGGAGATGACCAGAGACTGCAGACATAGTACAGGAGATGACCACAGACTGCAGACATAGTACAGGAGATGACCACAGACTTTGGACCATAGTACAGGATATGACCAGAGATTGCGGACACAGTACAGGAGATGACCTGAGACTGCGGACATAGTACAGATGACCAGAGACTGCGGACATAGTACAGGAGATGACCAGAGACTGCAGACATAGTACAGGTGATGACTAGAGACTGCAGACATAGTACAGGAGATGACCAGAGACTTCGGACATAGTACAGGATATGACCAGAGACTGCGGACACAGTACAGGGGGAGATGACCAGAGACTGCGGACATAGTACAGGAGATGACCAGAGACTGCGGACATAGTACAGGAGATGACCAGAGACTGCGGACATAGTACAGGAGATGACCAGAGACTGCGGACATAGTACAGGAGATGACCAGAGACTGCGGACATAGTACAAGGAAATGACCAGAGACTGCGGACATAGTACAGGAGATGACCAGAGATTGTGGACACAGTACAGGAGATGACCAGAGACTGCGGACACAGCACAGGAGATGACCAGAGGCTGCCGACACAGCACAGGAGATGACCAGAGACTGCGGACACAGTACAGGAGATGACCAGAGACTGCGGACATAGTACAGGAGATGACCAGAGACTGCGGACACAGTACAGTGGATGACCAGAGACTGCGGACACAGTACAGGAGATGACCAGAGACTGCGGACACAGTAGAGGAGATGACCAGAGACTGCGGGCATAGTACAGGAGATGACCAGAGACTGTGGACACAGCACAGGAGATGACCAGAGACTGCGGACACAGTACAGGAGATGACCAGAGACTGTGGACATAGTACAGGAGATGACCAGAGACTGTGGACATAGTACAGGAGATGACCTGAGACTGCGGACACAGTACAGGAGATGACCAGAGACTGCGGACACAGTACAGGGAGATGACCAGAGACTGCGGACATAGTACAGGAGATGACCAGAGACTGCGGACACAGCACAGGAGATGACCAGAGACTGCGGACATAGTACAGGAGATGACCAGAGATGCGGACACAGTACAGGAGATGACCAGAGACTGTGGACATAGTACAGGAGATGACCTGAGACTGCGGACACAGTACAGGGGATGACCAGAGTCTGCGGACACAGTACTGTACAGGAGATGGCCAGAGACTACAGACATAGTACAGGAGATGACCAGAGACTGCGGACACAGTACAGGGGATGACCAGAAACTGCGGAAACAGTACAGGGGATGACCAGAGACTGCGGACACAGTACTGTACAGGAGATGACCCGAGACTGCGGACATAGTATAGGAGATGACCAGAGATGGCTGACATAGTACAGGAGATGACTAGAGACGGCAGACATAGTACAGGAGATGACCAGAGACTGCAGACCTTTAGGGAGGGGGGGGGGGTACCTTCCCTCCCCGCAGTCTTGTGGGACATGTGACAGTGCTTCTCGCGCGCATGCGCAGTGGGCACCCGGCTGTGAAGCTGCAAGCTGTCACAGCTGGGTGCCCATACTGAAGATGCCAGTGCCGGGGAGAGAAGGCGGCTGATGGAAGCAGGACACTGCTGAACCGAGGAACAGGTTGGACCGGTGATCAGGTTCTTCTGCACAGTAGAGCTGAGAGGCCAGCCCAGTATTCTAACAGAGCGGCAGCGGGAATACCAGGCCTGCCACTCCATAGTTGCTCCATAAGATGCACAGACATTTTCCCTCATTTTTTACGTCTTATGGAACGAAAAATACGATAATCCTTTATTGGTAGCACCCTGCTACCCTACAATTCAGGGATGTATAGTATTATAAAAAGTTTCCAGATCTCTCTCTAAAAGATGAGGTTGTGTTGAGTAAATAGATACCAAATATAACAAAGCCTCAAACCTTTGTACACCTGTAAAATGTCAAAAATCTATGGTACTCCAATTTGTCCATAAATGAGACTTTTGCAAGTTATACATTTAGAGGTAAATGGGGAATGATGGTATTGAATGTGTAAGTTTGCTGTTGCATATAGTGGGGGGGGGCAATAAATAATATTTTTGCGTGTTATTTATTTTAGTTAACTTTACCTCCTGTGTAACACTAAACTGGTAATCTGAAAAGGCTTTTAAAAATGTCGCCAATGGAGATTTTTAAGTACGTAGTTTGGCGATGTTCCACGGGTGTATGCAGTTTTAAAGCAAGACATGTTAGATATCTATTTACTTAGAATAACATCATCTTGTATGTTTTAGCAAAAAATGGGTATTATATTGTGTTTGTGTGCACTAAAACTCATTAAAGTGTATTCTTTTAAAAAAAATTAGCATTTTTTTATTCCGTTTTTTAAAAAAATGTAACTTTATTGCAATCACAGGAGGCTGAAAAGCCCCTTATGTAATAGCATAGTGCATGTGACAGGTTCCCTTTAAACTTCTATCTGGGGCCTGTTAGACCCCTAACTGTCCTCTGTTGAAGCCAGTCGAGTCTTCCCTGGGCAGAGCAGCCATTGATTTTCAGCTCTGAACCTGGAGTTCGGAGTTGAGTGCATCCAGGTTCATTCTTCACTGGGGTGATCAGCCATTGTATGTTCCAACCATCATGGCTCCAGACAACCAGGAGGGACAGGTAAGAAGGGGGCATTAAGGGTGAAGAAAAGTGGGGGGAGTCACATTTGTGAGCATGTACTGTAGATGTGGACAATATTGTAGATTTTCAATCGATGTAATTTCTTATTCATTCATTGATTGGATAATTAATCTATTTATTCTACGATCAGTTTTATATTCATACTGATTGACATGGCTAATGAGATTTCTCATCTACATGACATATTGAATGTAGTCCAAGCAGAGCTCAGTTTACATGCCACAGAGGACTGCAAGCAGCGAGGTACAGTAGGTGCATTTTGTTGCAGAAGAAACATTGCATGTCTCTTCTGCAATAAATAGCCTGGTTGCTTGTGAGTTATTTTTTAAAAATACCTTTAAAACTGAACTCCAGGCAAACAGTTAAGCATGCAGTTGAAAGACATTTATGGAGGCCGTCGTCACTTGCCAGCCTGGTGACCTGACTGTTCTCTGCTGCAGTTATGCAACACAGCATGTTCACCTCCTTTTGTCCCCCAACCTATGATTGGACAATGAAGGATTAGCTGCAGATTGATGAGGTCATGGTCGAGGTCATCGTTTTGCATTCGTCTCCTCCTGTCAGCATGTACCCTGTCATCACGCCTAATTGTCCCAAGTACTGCCTTCCTCCTGTCCAAGTGCTGCTCTACAGAGGACTATGCAATGGTGAAATCACATCAAATTCTGTTATCTACACCAGCCTTTCTCAACCAGGGTGCTCAGGCACCCTGGGGTGCCTTCAGGCTTCTTCACGGGTGCCTTGGCAAAATGCCCAAAAATTGTATGCAAGCCAGCAGGTGGATCAATCCTGCCTTTTAGTACACAAAATTACAGGTTTTCATTGTGCACTTTTCTGACCTTCTAGCTGCCTGCATCCTAACAACCAATGACATCATCAGTTAATAAGGAGGACATGGAGTGCATGGACATCATCCTCGTTTGCCCCTCTCTGTCAGCACTGGGGTCACACTAGCAGACTTAGGGAGAGAAAGAGAGACACACTGGAATACTAGTCGGTACCAGTATGCAAAGGTGTATTTGCTTTGGAAGAATAAATCACCTCCAACGTTGGGTGTACTGGATGTGTGTAGAATCGTTTTTTACATTTTAGAATGGGGTGCCTTGAGATTATCCATAATTTTAAAGGCTGCCTTGACTGAAAAAAGGTTGAGAAACACTGCTTATACACTAGTTGCATTTATTATTATTATTATTATTATTATTATACAGGGATTTATATACCACCAACAGTTTGCGCAGCGCTTTACAAAATGAAGGTAGACATTACAGTTACAATACAATTTGGTACAAGAGGAAACAGAGGGCCCTGCTCATTAGAGCTTACAATCTAGGAGGAAGGGTTGAGTGATACAAAAGGCTGTGGGGGGGATGAGCTGATGGAGAGGAATAAATGGCAGTTTACTAGTTAGAAGCAGGATAGGCTTCTTTAAAGAGAAAGGTTTTCAGGGATTGTCTAACGGTGTATTGATTAGGAGATAGCTGGACAGGTTGGGATAGGTAGTTCAATAGGATTGGAGAAGCTCGGGAGAAGTCCTGGAGGCGAGCATGGGAGGAGGTGACACGGGAACTGGAGAGCAGAAGGTCCTGGGAGGATCGAAGAGAGCAGTTTGGTTGATAGTTTGAGACCAGGTTGGTGATGTAGCTGGGGGCAGAGTTGTGGATGGCTTTGTAAGTTGTTGTTAGTATTTTGAATTTTATTCCTTGGGAGAGTGGAAGCCAGTAGAGGGATTGGCAGAGAGGGGTAGCAGACACTGAACGGGTGGTAAGGTGGATGAGCCTGGCAGCAGTATTCATGATGGACTGGAGGGGGGATAGCCTATGTAATGGTAAGCCAATGAGGAGGGAGTTGCAGTAGTCGAGGCGAGAGATAACTTGAGAGTGAATTAGGAGCTTTGTGGTGTCATTGATTAAAAAGGGGCGTATTCAAAATACATTTAATAATTGTTTTTTGTTTAAATACAAAAACACACTCTAGGTATTTTGGATTTTTGGATATCTATGTGTATTTCAGCTTTAATGACTTTGGTAAGTGGGGGGGGGGTTATGGAAAATGCAGGCAAAAGTGGAGTTTTCCTTTAATGATGATTGCGTTAATCACGTGAACGTGTTTTAGTGCCGGACGTCTCCCCAAATACAGTAGCCTACCGCAAAATCCTTTTGGTTTGGCCACAAGGATTCAAGACTGAATTACTATCCGAACCAATGGCGTAGCATTGCTTTTCTAATGTAACCTGACTCTGAGTAACTCAACTGGGGGAGGTCACCGGGTCAATAACACCAGACTTGCTAGGAGAATTTCTGCTTAAATCCCACTCAAAGCCTCATATCACTAATTAAAAACAGAAACAATAACAAATTCCCATCGTCTACTTTCGACTTTGCGGTGAAGAGGGAAAAAAAGGAAAACAAAACGTAAAATCAATTCCTAGAGTTTCTTTTTTATATTCAAGCCCTCATGCACACAAGTGTTTGGCTTGGAATATTTATTTAGGTATTACTGTTTCTTTTCCCTTGTTTAACATTCATTTGTTACACTTGAAATGCATTAGGATTTATTGCTACAGATACAGTGGGGCTTGGTTGGAAATCTATGGGCTGCAAGGACGCAGTTCTCATAACAACCACATGGGGGAGAAAGTGCATTGTACATCTTGGAAGCAGGCAGTGACCTTCAACAGATGGATTTTTCTTCATCTCTCTGCGGCAGATCCAATATACATTTTAAACTGGTTTTAATGATTATTTTGGGTTATTTTTTCATTTTTCTTATATTACATCTTGGCATTAATTAGAATA